CTGTAGTTTGAAGTTTTTTTGTTTTTGTCACGGTCCAGTCAGGAAGCTTTTTGTTATGCCCTGATTTGGATTTTTTTCTTTGCCCGCCACTTTTAAACCCTAACGTTCAAATCTCGTGCCATCTGATATGTTCTCCATAGGAGGTAAAGAGACCTCGTAATTTTGGATCCCCACCCATTCTTCCTCAGGTGTGATGGACTCTACTTCATTAATGTTTACTCTACGTCAATTTCCCTTTTCCCATTATTCACAAACCACACTAGTCATGCCTTTATTCTGACTGTGACACTATGATCATGCCCGACGGTATGCTACCCACTAGTTGGGAATAAATATTATTATTATTATTACTAATTCTTACTTATGCCCTTTTTGAACAAAGCTTGGCCGACAGGTTTTTCACCATTGACCCAGCAAACACACGGCGGGGACATAGAATATTTTCAAGCTCAGAGCACACACATTCAATAGACTTTTTTTTCATTCCGGGTAGTGGGTGCGTGGAATGACCTTCCTCCGACGGCTGTTCACGCTCCTTCTAAAATCCGTTTTAAAGCACTATTTTGTTTATGCGAATCCTCGCGCTGGCAAGCATACTGCCCCGCGCTGAGAACATAAAGAGAAGTGCTACACCCTTTTTCACTTTTGCCTTTCAGGTGAACGACAGCCACTGACCGACAAGAACAAACATTACCCGGGAAACTTGGACAATAGCCTCGATCCTGTGTATCAATCCGGGAATCCGTGAATGTATGGTGAATATTCTCAGGTTCTTTCAACCAACTTCGCTTGATAATTTTTCCCATTCGACCTTGTTTGACGACTGCTACCGTGGACATCATGCGTCACACAACCTTGACACAAGTCAGACAAAGTATCTGGTTTCGTGCCACGGTCCACCTCGAAAGATCTTATGTGAATTTTTGCCCCATCACAAGGTAGACCACAAATATATACACGCGTGCACATGCAAGAAACTGAACTCACCAGCACCGCGCACCTCAACTACATGTCCACTGTTTATGACGTTGCCCTAATTTCGAGCAATCCCCACTACCCGCGAATCCCCTAGCCATGCTTCCTTCTGACTGTAAACGTATGATCATCCCAGACGATATTCCACCCACAAGTTGGGAATAAACGTTTTTATTATTATTAGTAATATTTTGTTTCCAGCGTCAGCAAACTGGGGCCACGGACAACAAGGAATAAGTGTGGTACTAATGTTGCCAAGAGAAAGCTCCTTGCATCCGGTCTCCTTTTCCTCAACCTCAACGAGGACCTAAGAAACCGATAAGTCACTTCACTTTTGTATGCTTCCGGTTTCAACATTACATTTGTACTCACAACCTAACCTTATAATCTATTCAAACATTATACTCAGACCTTATTACTGAATATCGTTTCTGATATTCGAGCTCAACGACCATTTACTAGAGGACAAGTGAGTGAGCCACTTTCACTAGACCACTCAGCCGGACGGCCGCGTTAATTCGTTGGTCACTGATTTATGTATCCCTACAGTGGTGGACTATTGAGCAAAGACGAGTTCGCCAACAAATACTGATGTGGCCTTCTGCTTTTTGGCGGGAATCAAACCCATTTAAGCGTCAATGCTTTCGATTTACCTTGAAGTATAAAAATGATTGATCACCATGCCGAAGGCAGATTTGACAGCCACCTGAATCACAACCACATTCCGGGAGATGGTCATTGTAGCGCACTTCTGAAAAACGTATGCGGGTTCATTTTATTGTTTGCTGTGACAGCACCCAATGGGGCGTTTTTGAGAGATCTCAAAGACTTGGAATTGCTAACCCGGTTGCATTGGGGGGTGACTGGCAGGCCAAAAGCATTGCTGGCGAAGAACTAATTTTTACAAAAACAGGTTTTATTTCAAGCAAGTGGCACCACAAATCATCGTTCCGAAGTTGTTCTTAGTAGCCGGTCCTTCTGGGTAAAGCCTGTGTCAGATATCAGCTTCCAATATGCGTGTCCCGGTTTCACAGAAAAACCGAACAGTTTGAGATATATAAAGGTAGATGACGTATGAATACGCTAATATATCTGGTGTATTTATGTAGATTCATTCTTCGCCATATCTGTGTGGAAAAGCTATGCCGAGAAATTCGTTTTACTCCATTTTACATCATAATTTATGTGGGGTCGAGTAAAATGATTTCTCACTTTTAACATTCGGAAAACAGTTTGTCTTAACGACGTCGTCGTTGAAAAAACCATCTCAGCAACATAAAAATCTCCATCTATGAACGTGTTTGTTGTTGATGAGGATACCTGATATCATCTCATAAAAACCATGGGGTATGGTGATCACGTTGCTTTAAAAGGCTATGGTTGCTTGTGTTAAAGAACTGACATCCGTTGCATGTAACAAACAAGGCGTTATAATGCATGTGCTGTGCAGGACTGGCTGTCCATTGCCCTTGCTTTGGCAGCCAGCCACATACCACAGGTGACGCTGGACATGCCAAAGTTTCAGACCTCCTTGGGCTACCGAGACCGCGCCCTCTCTATACGCCTGGATGCTTGATTCCAAGCGATGATGTTTCGACACATTTTAAGGACGGTTATCGGTCAATGGATGTCATTTGCGCTGCGTTCATCAACCACTCATCCTCAAGTGAACTGCAGCCCCAAATGCTTGCGCCGATATTTAAGGCATTTTTAATAGGCCTGAAAGCTGGTGCCTCTGCAGTGGCTGATATAAGTGGCAGCTGGATGGACTCAAGGCTTCCATTTTTTCAAAAAGGAAACTACTCACAAGGTTGCTGAAAGCTCTTCGACAAATCACGACCGGTTTTGCCCTTCTTGGGGCTTATCAGGCAGGTGCATTCCCCTAGTTTCCGCCAACCTTATGATCTACTTGAACCCAAATTGGACTGCTTTCGAGAAATACACACATTTTCAACGCCAAGGGCGAAACCGGTCGTGGGCCGTCGAAGAGTTTTCAGCAAACTTGTGAGCAGTTTCCTTCATGGAAATATACTGCGACATCTCAAATATCGTACTAACTGAATCATGAGGCTGCCTGTCTGCAGCACATTCAGTTGTAGAATACCATAAACAAGAGATTCAGTTGAGTTTTTCGGAAAACTAAATTCATTTGCAAATGAGTGTACTTCTCGCTTTCAGTTTTTATTCAGTCACCTTAGGCTTAAGCGAAAATGCCGCCGCCACAAAAAGTGTTTCTTTTGATAGCGCCAGTTACAGAGTACTTCTTTATGACCATGCTTTCATCAGACACCTACAGCAACTATTTCCAGACGCCCGCTGGTGTTTTTTTGCAGAAACCTCTCATGCGTAAACACGCACACGTATCTAACAAAACCGCAATTAAAATGTTCCTATCGAACCGACTCTCAGGCCCATTTACTGATCCAATAATGGATGATGACGAGCACTGCACTCGGACGTCTTTGGATGTAGAGGATACCGAGTCTTCAGTCTTCGCCAGTAAGCACCATAACTCTGAAAGTTCAGAGGATTTCCTAAGTGTGCTGCCATAGCGTTCCTCATCGCTGGCTATTCGCACAAGGAGATCGATTTCTCGAAATCTACGGCATCTTCAGACTTGTCACTTCTTAGTGTAGAATGTCTATGTATAATGTATATGCTTCTGTATTATTGAAAATTATTTACCATGGCGATTTGTTTAAATGAACGAAATCTCCTCGAAATCTATCTTCAGACTTGTCACTTCTTAGTGTAGAATGTCTATGTATAATGTATATGCTTCTGTATTATTGAAAATTATTTACCATACCATGTTGTTTAAATGAACGAAATCTCCAGGTCAATAAACACCGCCGACTCTGAATACGTTGCCTGATGATAAAAAATCGCGAATTGTGGAAAAGGTTGACTCACATACAATGAAAGTAACTTTCAAGTATTTTTCCACCGGAACAGATTTCCTCAACATTCTAGAATCTAAATGGCCTTTGGAGATGCAACATATTCTTAGGCGCATTCGTGCAAACAAATTTTGCTCGATGATTCTTTGTTGCCAGTAAATATTCCGTAGTGCACGCTAATTACTTGCTAAACATCGTGCACGTTGGCTGGCAAACTGCAGAGTTTTCCATTATAGGTTCCCAATTATGCTAGAAGGACCTCGAGGTTCATCGACCTTAATCGACACACACCACTAACATGCGGCTAGGGGTACACGATGCCTAACTAACTTGCCACATAGAGCCTACGTCGATAATACCAGACAGCTGGACGATCTTAAACGACGCACACCACTAATATGCGGTTAGGGGTACACGATGCCTTACTAATCCATCCATCGGTAACGGAGAAAAGGCTCAAAATGAACGTCTTGAAATTTTGAGATATACTGGTCCTTTTGAAGTCTACATATGTCCTTCTGTGAGGCGCATTTCGTTCTTCGTGAGGAGCGTTCATTTGGCCGTTGAAGTCCTGAAATGAGAGGAAGATATAATTCAGGTTATCGAAGTAGCACCATTAGGCGGGCGGCCGACAAACTGGTAGA